GCTGTGTTTAATTTAAAACTCCTTTGACCTTCTTTAATTTTGTAGACAATGGATAATGTGAAGTAATAAACTAAAGAGGAAAGAAAAGACTTTCATATCACATGTGTTTATATTTAATAATAATTATCTCCTAGCCAGAAAAAAAACTGTGATGAAATACTGTAATTTGTTACTCCAGAGCAGAGGGAATATCTATGCTGCTTCTTAGTGACTCTAATGAGAACTAAGAGATTTCCTAGCTGAGATTAATGACCTAATAGATTTTTTTCTTATTCTTTATTCTCATAGTTGAGATTATTAGCCTAATACTTTTTTTTGGTATAGACCTTGGTTTCATTTCTCTAGGGCTATCCTGGAGCCCACTGAGGCAGACTGGTAACTCATCTCTAATCTATAGTGTTAGGTAGCTTCTTGGGACTCTGGGAAGTCAAGTGACTTGCTCATGGTCACTCAACTAGTATGTGTCAGACATGAAACTTGAACTCAGGTCTCCCTGACTCCAAGACTAGCCTATTCACTCTGCCATCTGGTTTTCCTATCAACACTTTAAGGATTGTTGTCTCTCTACAAGCTCTCCTGACTGTGGATCTAATGCCCTCAAAAGGCAGCATAATATAGTGGAAGAGTGATGCACCTTTGGGGAAAAAAAAGAAATTTACATGATAACTTTTTATATACTTAAAAGGAATAGCAAGTTGTACACAATAGATTTGCAATTTCATGTGTAATATCTTGCTTTTATTATCCTATGCTATAGAAATGCTTGTTTTATTCCATAAATAACATATAAAATAAATTTTAAAAATAAAAAGTGATGCACTAAGAGATCCTTAAAAATATTTATTAATTGTGGATTTGTAGCTTCCATTCCCCCTACAACTACTTATTTTAAAATTTCATGCAAGTCACTTAACCTCTCTATAAGACTGAGTTGCCTTATTTATCAAGTGGAGATAATGACTTACATATAGATCAGCTGTGAGTGCTTTCCTCTGTAAAGATACGTTGTACCTACTTTGTAATGTATCTTGTATATACCTATTTATGCATGGATTATCTTCCCTATTAGTATGTAAGCTTCTTGACAGTAGGAACTATTTTGTGTTTTTGTTTCATTTAGTGCCTGGCACATATTAAACTCTTTTTAAATACTTGTCAATTGAAAAATTGTTCTTTCTAGGTGCCTTCCTGCTCGAAGATAAACAGTTCTTTTAAGATAGTAAGATGTAATGCTTCTTTGAAGAAGATACAGTAGAGGAAAGGAATTTCTGACACTAAAGCAAATTTGAAAGCAAATACCCAAAACAAACCATCTCACTTAGAATATCATTATTTTTTTTAACCAGTTCATTCTTCACCATGGAAATTAGGTTCACAGTGAAAAGTGAAATCACCAGTCTCTTCTATTTGTCCACCATTAATTCCTCCTTATCCAAGTATCATATGAATATTTCATGTCATTTATCTTTTAGGGAAGGAAAGAGGTCACTGTGTCCCTAACTCTAGCTCATGGAAAGTAGGCTGTGACTACTATGCATAAGAAGAAATTATAGAATTAGTTTTCCTTCCCTTTGATTTGCATATTCAGAGAAATATTTGTATTCCAGGTCCACCAGCCACAAGGACCTTCCTTTCCCATGTGGGCCTAATCACTGTGTTCCAAAAAGTGCCATCCTAGGTGAACCACTTACTACCTGTGTGATCATGGGGAAATCACCTAACCTCTCTGGGCTTCAGTTTCCTCATCTGTAAAATGAAGAGCTGGGTAGAGGACTCATAAAACCCTTTCCCTGCTGTTACAGGCCAGGGCTGACCAGGTAGTTTAGGTTCAAGATTAAAATGAAATGAAATGCTTGTAGCCTATCTACCAATCAATGAAAGGAGGTTTACTTAGCCATAGCAAGGGAAGGATACATAAGAAAGATATTCAGTAAAGACACCATGCTGATTCAGCTGAGCTCAGTTCCTCTGCCTCTGAGTTGCCCATGGGATTCTGCCAGTCAAACATCAAAGAGTATCTGTACCCCCATATGGCTTTTTTGTACTCAGGTGACCCAGAAGCAATGTTAAACTAACATTATGTACCTTTAGTTCCTTGAGTCAGTTTATTTTCTAAATCAGAGATTCTTAATCCATGGTCTATGAACTTTAAAAACTTTTTTTGATTTTTCAATGTAACTGTTTTATTTTATTTTATCCCTTTTAAAACATTATTTTGAGAAGAGATCAATAGGTTTCACCAGACTACCAAAGGGGTCCATGACCCAAAAAAAGTTAAGAATCCCTGGACTTGAAGATGGAATCCATATCTTTTTGAGGAAAAATACTAACCCAGGCCATGTGACAGGGACTCTGGCAGACATTCTTTCTTCCACACAGGTCTAAATCTCTTATCATGATTCTCGAAACTGTGAAGATTCCCCCTGCAGGCTGAGATTTATAGCGTGGGGGGAATTGCTAGTGACCTCAGGAAGAACCAAAGGAGATAAGTGTAGGCTAAAATACAACTAGCATCAGCATGCAGCTCCCTCAGCCTCCATCATCTCCTTGTTACTCCCACAGACTACTTGCTGTGCTTGTATGGGGCCTCTGGAAGTGTTTCTCCTGCCTATCTCACTATGTCACTATGTCACTTGTCACCAAGGCTTTTCCATGTTCCTACTGGTAGTCCTTCCTCCTTCATATCCCCTTTGTCTCTCTGATACATGTGATTTACACCTGATTCCTCCTCTCCCTTCACTTCACCCTGATCCCTGTAAATTTAGGGAAAACCCATAACATTGACAACCTGATAAGGTCTTGCTACCTTCCCTTTCTGGGGATTCAACTGATGCAGAATAACAGATGCCCAAGACCTCAGCTGACAGATCACAGCAACTTCCAGACTTAAGAGTAAGGGTCATATGGAGCATACAAAAACATATCTGGGTTCCTTCTGCAGGCTCCACTGGCCAATGACTAGAATTCTAGTGTATTTCAATATGTATGCTCTAATCTTCCAAACCTCCTTCTCCAACCCTCCCACCTCTCTCTCATACACACACCCACACCTGAAAGAGCTCTCACTGAGTAAGACTTGACATGGACAAACATTACCATAGAGATGGGATTGAAAATCTGATGGCCCAATGAAATTCACTCCTTCAAGTTGGTTCAACATGGTATTATGCCATGGTCTATAAGCCACACTGTAGCCTTCTTTTTCTGGGTCCAGCTTTATATCCTTAAGTATCTGAGAGTTAATCATTTTTTTATTTTTCATTTTTTTGAGTTAATCATTTTTGGTAGAGAGCATTTTGCTTTCAATTTTTTCTTACCTGGGAGAATGTATTTAGTCACTTGTGAGGTGTAATAGATAGAACAGACTTGGAGTTAGGAAGACCTAGGTTTAAGGGCTACTTCTTAGGTTTATTAGCTGTATGGTGATTAGAAAGCCTCTCAGCTCTGCTGAGCTTCATTTCCTTCATCTGCAAAATGGGGATTAATAATATTTGTAGTATCTACCTTATGGGTTTGTTGTGAGGATCAATGAGATAATGTATGCAAACCACTTTGCAAACTTTAAAGCACTATATAAATATGCTTTTATTACATGTATTAACACCCTTATTTAAAGTTTATCAGGAAGCAAATTGAATCATTTAGTTGGATATGCAAACCAGACCTCAGTTTTCTCTACGTGTCTTTTCCCCCGACACTGCATACCTTTGCACACTTAGCAACCAGCATATCAAGATAGGTTTAAATAAGCAAATAATCCAAGATCCTGGTTGTTCATTTCCCTGGGTAGCTCAGACATCTGGATTGCATACAGCAGATGTGTTACAGATTGGTATTACTGACCTCATATGTGAATGCTTAATATTTTAATCTAATATTTTAGGAGAGTTCACTCATATCCTCTCAGAGGATATGGCGTGCCTGCCGCTCACTCTGTCCTCTATCATTACCAAAGTATATATTCAAGCTTTATTGAATTATAGTTGAGCTTTTCAGTGAAGAGAGGCACTCCTTCAGCTGGGTGTGCAATTTCTTTCCAAAATCTATCAGTCTGAAAACACAGGATCACTGAGCTAGAGCTGGATGGGACTTCTGACCTAGGCCATCTGGTCCAATCCCCACATTTTACAGATAAGGAAACAGAAGTCCATAGAATTGCTGAAGGTCACACAGGTGGTAAGTAGCAGAGTCAGGATGGAAATCCAGGTTCTTTAACCTGAACAATGCTCTTTGTATTCTATCATGATGCCTCCCTGCGTGTACTGGTAGATATCTTCACCAACCCTTTTCATCAGAGGTTTCCCTTCCCAACTCACTCTCTCTTTGGCTCACTACTTTTAGAAACACTGCTCCTTTCCCTCCCATCTCCCTCACCCCCCTCCCAACACACACACACTTTATTGTGGGAGGAGGGTCTGACACAGTTTAGTTTTTGGAGCTATTTTTTTAGGAGCTAAATTTTTATTTATTTATTTGTTTATATTTCTTTAGGACTGCCTGTGAAGTAGTTATTGTTCCAGTGTTTACCAATGTGTCTCAAAAGCTACAAATCTTATATGAATAATTACAAGATTCTGAGATTCTGGTTTGGAGAAGTATAGAGGACAGAGCATTGAACTAGAAGTTAGAAGACGTGAGTTTGAATCCTGCCTCAGACACTTATTAGTTGTGTGATCCTGGGCAAGTCACTTAAACTCCCAAAGTTTGAGTTTTCTCATCTGTAAAATCAGGATAATATTATTTGCAACTTCTATGTCACAAGATTGTTGTGAAGTAATGTATGTAGAGTACATTAGAAGTCTTAAACTACTATGCAAATATGAGTTGTTTCCCATTTTTATGGATATTTTCATGTCTTCATCTTACTTTTTCTTCCATCCTCCAACATACTCCATATCACCTCCCAATTTATTTCAGGCCTCTGGGCCTGTGTTTACTTCAATAGATGAGGCTGGAGATAACACTGAACTCAGCTCTGTCTCAAACCATGCAGTGCTCACCTTTGTCTCCTTTGGTACATGTCTTCCCATCTTCTTCTCGGATATACCCCTCCCGACACTCACAACGGTAGCTGCCCAAGGTGTTGATGCAGATCTGTGAGCAGAGAGTCTCATTGCTGGTGGCACACTCATCGATATCTGTATTTGAACCAATGTTCAGGGATACTTAGAGAGCTTTAGAAAATGGATTTTCTATGGAATAGGTTATGTCAAGTTGGGTGTTTGTGCAGATGATATTCTTTGCACAACCTCAATCAATGTGATTTTGGATAATCAATCAATCAGTCAATCAGTCAACAAGCTTTTATTCAGTGCTTACTATTTGCCAGGTGGGCAGCTGGATCACACAGTGAATGGAATGCCAGGCCTGGAGTCAGGAAGGCTCATCTTTCTGAGTTCAAATCCTGCCTCAGACACTTACTAGCTTACTAGTATGTCACTTAACCGTCTTTGCCTCAGTTCCTCATCTGTAAGATGTTGATGCCATCTTCTAGTCTAGGGATTCTTAACTTTTTTTGGGTCATGGACCCCTTTGGTAGTCTGGTGAAACCTATTGATCTCTTCTCAAAATAATGTTTAAAAGAGATAAAATAAAACAAAACAATTACATTGAAAAATGAGCTGAGAAAGAAATGGCACAAACACTCCAGTATCTTTGCCAAGAAAATCCCAAATGGGGTCATAAGGAGTTGGACACAACTGAAAATGACTGAACAGTAACAACAACAATTTGATAGGTGTTGTGCTAAGTGCTGAGGAGACAAAGAAAAAATAAAAATAGTTCTTGCCTTCAAGGAGTTTACATTCTAATGGGGAATAAAATGGATAGCTAGAAATATGACCCATCCAAGAAAAAAACTTATTTCAACTGCCCTCACTGTGGAGACATCCAAAAGCAGTGTGTTCTAGGACTGGTTCTGCTGCTAGCTAGCTGTGTCATGTAACCCTGGTCATGTAACTTTCTCATACCTGAATTTCTCCATTTGTAGGACTAGATAATAACACCTATTTTAATTGCCCCTACTAGTTGGCTTAGTTGGAAAAATATTTTGAAAGTAAGCATATGCCAAACAAATACAACATCTGCTTACTATCATTATCTGCAATTCAATTGGCATAATTTTTATTTTCAAATGTCCTGGTAAGCTAAGGACTTTGTAATGTCCTTTTTTGCTGATGTGGAGTCTAAGGGTAAGACAACCTAGAATGTCTTTTTCAATTAAAAAAAAGACTGAGTAACATAACTGGGAAAAATCACTGTCACTAAAAAGAATTTGAGAACCACTGAGACTTCCATGCAGAGTGCTCTCCCTGTGAAATTTGGCCCATCAGTGACCTGAAGCCTGAGAATTCCTCCCTTTGGGCTAGCAAGCTCCTCATAGCCTTGAAAATGAGTCAACAGAACTTTCAAAGCCAGGGTCATCTATTCACATCACAGATTCACTCCCCTGCTGAAATGCAGAGAAAGGAAATGTTTTCAACCCATGGGAAGGTGGCAGGGGAGGAGTGAGGAGAGTGAAGGGACTTGAATAAGTTTCACGTACACAGTCTGTAAACAACACCAGGTGCCAGCAGACAGAAGCAATGATGTTGGGGCTCAGACAATGCACGTGTGTTGGACCGACTGAGGCTGGGCGCGCACTCTAGGAAGACATCGAAGTCTGATGCATGTTTCAGGAGCTTCCTTGATGTACTGCCAAGGGCCCTTCTCCCCATCCCTCCATCTCCCAGTTGCTGCAGGTACTGGTAAGAACACTGAAAGTGGAAGCTTCTCTGGCTAGGTGCCTGCCCTTTATCCTTTGCAATGCACAGGCTGAGGGGCATTGTAACATCACAGCCTGACACTCATTGGCAAATGCTCCAGTATTTCAAACTGACACCTACCCTCCTGCTCCAGCTGCCAACTGAGTATGGCACTGCCTGAGCCTTTGACCTACTGGTGATGTCAAAATAAAGGGTGAAACAGGTGAAAACAAGCTTCAGACTGATCTTTATAAGCAACATCAAGGGTTTGTAGATTCCCAAAGTTATATGAATTAAGGGGATAGAGGTAGGGTAGAGAAAAGCAGGATCAAAACTGAAAAATAAAAAAAAAAATAAAAGTCCCATGCTTGGGATTCATTGCCCACCTAACAGGACCCCAAATGTGGAAGGGACCACAGACTAACTCTGAGGGAGTATCCCTTAAAGAGTCTAGCAAGCCTGAAGGGGACTAAGCCAAGCATAATAAGGATAGGCTACATAGTGAAACTTGGCTTATTTTCCAACTTGGTTCACCATGCTAGGGGCACAGCATCCTAGACTTAACACTGAAAGGAACTTTAAAAGCTACCTAATACCTCATTTTGTAGATGAAGAAATAAGGACTCAGAACTTCTGACTTACACACTCAAGACCACACAGATCATAAGTGACAAAGACAAGACATTAATCAGGGTCCTCTGATTCCAAATCTGGTTCTTTTCTCCTTCTGCTATGTAGTTGACCATGATCTATTTGCCAAAGAGACTTGGGGAGCCAGCAAATGATGTAACTGGCATTTAGTCCATGGATAGGTTTGTGCAACAGTGGGAGGACAAGATGGTGATTTAATGATTTCTTCAGTCCGAGCCCAGAATGTTGGCCTCCTTAGCTTCCTTTTCCTTGGTTCTGAGCTGCCTGCCACATGTGAGTCTCTTTCTCTTTAAAGTTGCCTTGCTCCATAGCTAATCTAAGGGCAAGCTTGTTTCTATCTGGTTCTCTGGCTCAAAACTTTCTTTATCATCTATTTTCAACTTCATAATGAATCTGTTGTTTCTTTTTCCTCTTCCCTCTGTTTATTTGTTATTGAATAGTTAAATGGTATACATGTAATTTTTCCAGAAGTGGTCTGAGAGTCATTGTGGGTGTTTCCATAATCACAAATAGTAGTCACAACTAGTCTTCTTCCAAGTGAGATGCCATCCTCCAGAGATGAAGACTTAGGGTGAGGAGTCAAAGGTTAGTACAATTCTTAGTCATCAGAGACCTTACAAAAAAGTGTTTGACCAATGGTACCTATGTAAGATGAAGTAAATCCCTCAAAAGTGGTACACTCATGTAGTTCCCCAACATACCTAAGCAATAAGGCTTCACTTTGTTCCTGTGTCTCTCCCGGTCATACCGGTACCCTGGATAGCAGGTACATAGAACTCGGCCAAAGTTATCTGTGCATTGCTGTTCACAAGGAGCCTCAGAACACACATCGTAATCTGAAAGATGGACAAACGATATACAAAATCATTGGCAACAATACTCCTACAACAATAGGGACTGCGATGTTTTGAGAATATATGGTTAAAAGGTGGAAAATGGAGAACTAATGTTCTAGAGTAGTGGTCTCTAAAGTGAAGGTCATAGTGCCCTGGAAGATTGTGATTTGACTCAAAGGAGGTAATGGCAGAACCAATGGGCAACAGGTAATGGAATCAACCAAACAGAAGATTGGGAAGATGGGTCATGTTCTCCCCTCCCCTGATAGTCAATCATGGGACTTACCTCTAGAACAACCATAACTACTTTTATACACTAACATTTCTCCATTTTGCCCCTTCCCCTTAGTGTGTAAATTTGCAACCCTCTCCCCTTCTGCCCCAGGAGTTGGCCCCTTGGGATGGTTATAACCTAAATGCTTCTTGGATACCCACAGCAGCAGCTATACAGGTGCCACTGGGAAAATCTCTCCTCATCCAGAATACCCTTCTTCCACTTCCCACATCGATTCTTGGCTGCAGCAGGTACCCCTTAGAGTGTGGACTTGATTCTTGGGTTCATGACTGCTGAATTAAAGGATCAATTTCCCTTTTTTATTTTGAGTGGGACAGACAAGCAAGGAGTAGTCATGGATGGATTACAATATGCACCACGCCTCTGGTTATATTTTATTTTCCCTCAAATCTTTTCCTCTTCTGAACTTCCTTAGTTCAGTTGAGGGAACTGCTAAGTTGTGGATACTCTGTAGGGCTCACCCCCTACTCTCTATCCACAAAGGCACAACCCTAGTTCAAGTCCTTACCTCCTCTCATCCTCAGTATTACAATGGCTTTCTGGTTGACCTCCCTCTTTCAAGTCTCTCCCCAATTCAATCCAGTCTCTACTTAACTGCCAAAGTGATTTTCCTAAAGCACAAGTCTGATTGTGCTATCAAAAAACTCCAGTGGTTCCATATTGACTGTGAAATCAAATGTTATTTCATCTTTATCTCATTTTATATTTCAGTTTTATGTAATGTTTATAATGGACATAATTATTAGGGCAATAGTAAGCACATGTATGTGTTATAATTTATATATAAGTCAATATACATATATTAGGGATATGTACTCAGGTTTTTTTTAAGTTGATAGGGATACATGATCAAAAATGTTTAGAGACCACTGTTTTAAAGTATGTTTTCCCAGGCTGGTTCTAACTTAGGAAAAGGGAATGAAAAATTCAGTCTAGGAAGGAGGAAATTAAGTTTAACCTGAATTGGTGGTGCTACTTGAAATACTGTAGGATAGAATTTGTCACAAAATATCCTACCTAACTTTGCAGATCTCTAATAATTCATCTGCTATTCTGGTCCTGGCCCTGCCTTGTACAGTTCCCAGGAGACTTTATTACAATGCCAGATCAGAGACATGGAGCTAGAAGAGGACTTAGCGGTTCTCTGGTTCTATTCCCTAATTTCACAGAGGAGGAAACTGAGGCCCTGGAAGATAGAGTCATTTGCTTAAATTCACACAGCTAGTAATACATACAAACACAGGGTTGGCTTTTTTTTTGTTTTTTTACCGAACACAATGTTTTTTTCCCAATAGAAATCCCATTTATTTAAATTCTGAACAACAGAGGGCTCCCTCTTGGGTAAGGAGACTGGCACACTTTTTTTGGGCACTGATGGCCAGAAGCATAGGCTTTTTCCATTTTGTGAATCATGACATTGTCTACTGCTTCAACAATGCCATCAGGGCCTGCCTTTCCCTTGCCATAAATGGTCTCACTCTCTGGCATACCTAAGAGCTGCAAAACTAGCTGGCATACTTTTCCTGGGCACATGGATGGAGAACAAGATTGAGATTTTCAGAGTATAGTGGTGGGAAGGAACATGGTTCAGTGGAAAGATTACTAGCTTTGAAATTAGAGGACCTGGGTTCAAATACTGCCTCTGAGACACATTACTTGTATGATCTTGGACAAATAATTTACCTCAATTACCTGTGCCTCAATTTCCTCACATCCGTAAAATAAGAGGGAAGGTGAACCAGACTGTTTCTGTGGCCCCTTCCAGCTCTAAATTGATAATCCTTGCCAACTCTAGTTTCCTCTGGTAGAACTGCTGTGTGCTTCTCTCAGGAGCAGAGGACTGAGAATAAAAGACTTCTTTTTTTGTTTTGCTTAGGCAGTTGGAGTCAAGTGATTTGCCCAAGGGTCACACAACTAGTAAGTATCAAGTGTCTGAGGCCAATTTGAACTCTGGTCCTCCTGACTCCAAGGCCAGAGATCTGTCCACTGTGCCACCTAGCTGCCTCTAATAGAAGACTTCTTGGATGAAGAAGTTGGTACATGTGTGAAGGTTGCTAGTTTTTTCTTTTCTTTTTTTAAATAAACTCAAAGTGGTTTGGGGCCAGGGAAGTCATGGTGGTCTAGGTTGCCAGCTAAACAGGTGAATGAGCAGCCAGTACCACAGGATGGAGATAACATTCCAGGTCCAAGGTTACTAATAGTAGCCAGCATTTATATGGCACTTTTAAGGTTTACAAAGCATTTTGCATATGCATTTGATCCTCATAACAACTCTGAGATACAGGTATGATTGTTATCCCCATTTTATTTATGAGAAAACTGAGACTGAGAGAGATTAAGTATTTGCCTGGGGTCACGTGGCTAGTAAGTGTCTTAGAGAAGATTTGAGATCAGATCTTGACTCTAAGTTCAACACTATCCACTGTACCACCTACTTGCTTGATAGCCCTGTTTCCTTCACATACTGGATGAAGCAGCTGAGCCATGGCTGCTGCCCACTGTACATAGCAGGGCTTCCTCCTTCATCACCGCTGCTCAGCTCCCATACAATACGTGTATCTCATTAATGCTTCTGATCACATGACCTGAAGGAGGACCTGGCCATTGTTATGGGTCATGTTCTCCATTTTTAATCTGAAAGCTGGGGTTGGCCAAGAACTTCTATCCGACTTTGCTGTTCTCACATAGGAGTAAAGGCTACAAGTCTGACAGGGGGAAGAATTCAAAGGAGGCCTGCAAATTAGAAATGTGTGTGAGTTCTTCTAAGGAGCTTTATGGTTTTTTCGGTAGGATAGGGCAAAGCAACAGGGTTAAGGAAGAATTGTCATGAATAGAGAAATCAGTTAGCCCTGGCCTATGAAACTGTATTAATCTGAGTAGCTATTCTAGTGACCTGAGAGACTTAGTATATCTCCTCTCAATTCTTATGAATTTAAAGTGACTGGGCTTTTGCAGGGTGCTTGGCTCTAACCCAGGTGCTAAATATGAACAGTTTACTCCAGACGCATGTCCAAGATCTCATTAATCACTGTACTACCCTGTAGGTGCTGACAGACAAACTGTTCTTGGAAGCTCCAAGTCTGGCTTCATTCTGCTATAGAGTGAAGGTAATAAGGGTGGGCTGTTAGCTATGACATGAGGAGAGGTTGTAGTGGCAGTAGAAGGTGATCTTGAGATGGGGCAGCGTGGTACAATAACATTGGGTTTGGAGTCAAAGGACCTGGCTTCAGATTCTGACCTGGCCACTTACTACCTAGGTGACACTGAGCAAGTCACTTAACCTCTCTGTGCCTCAGTTTCCTTATCTGTACAATGAGTGAGCTGGACTAAATGATCCAGACTTATGATTCTCTGAACTATGGACCAGTAAATTTCTGAGGCTTAATCTTGTTCCTCACAACCACGGGTTCTGCTGAATCAATGCCCGTTCCAAAAGGGGAGCCAGCAACTCCCTTTTCTCTGATTCCAAAAGGGCTCTTCTTTGGGGAGTCACCAAGTAGCTTCTAGGGTGAATTTGTGAGTTTGCATTGAGAAGCCTTGGTCTCAGTCAGACACACTTGACTCTGACTGAGCATCACTGCTGCATGGACAAAGTTCTGTGCTTTCTCTTTATCCAGTGCTGTACCTTCTTGCTGTATAAAGCTTTAACTATTTGCAATCATGCATTATTTTTCACTACTGTGTACTGCCAGATGTGGTCATCAGTCAGCATCTGCCATGGAGAGGGAAGTAAAGAGCATTTAGCTTGACTGTAGCTTTGATGATCACTCCTATGCCAACTTGACTATTGTTGGCACAGGAAGTAGAGGGGCCAGATGACTGGGTTTCCATTCACTTTTCATCAAGGCATCATGGCATAGTGGATTGAATGCTGAAGCTGAGGTTCAGAAGTCCTAGGTTCATGTGCCACTCACCTTTCTGAGCCTCAGATAACTCTTGAAGTCTATTAACTTAGAGGCAGAATGGTACAGTTAAGAACCGCTGTCTTTGAAGCTATATGATCTGTGCTTGAATATGGCCTCTGTAACTCCTTGTATGACCTTGGGCAAGTCACTTAACTTTCCTAGGCTTTAGTTACCTCATCTACAAAGTGAAGGAGTTGGATTGGATGATCACAAAAGTTCTTTTCAATCCTAGGTCCTATAAGCCTATGAAATTATAGGTGATTTGTAATTTATTTTGCACCTTTTATTTTTACTTTTTTTTTTAGGCAATTGGAATTAAGTGACTTGCCCAGGGTTACAAAACTAGTAAGTGTCAAGTGTTTGGTCTGAGGCTGGATTTGAACTCAGGTCCTACTGACTTCAGGGCCAGTGCTCTATCCACTATGCCACCTAGCTGCCCTGGGATTAGTAATTTGCATCAGTGGAGGAGGTTCACACACTGACAATATCATACTTACTTGATGTATACACTAAGGCATGACCTTTTATGATGCGTAAATAAAAGCCAGGAGCATGCCAGGGGATTTAGAGGAAGGAAAACCAACTAAGTCATTTAAATGGAAATTCATGAATGGTGGGATGGATGGATCCCCTGCTCTGGGCATTGATTTGGGCCATATTTGGTGACTACACACTCTGGTCCACTGCAAAAGGGTTAAATGAAACTACAACTTCCTTATTGGTTTGTTGTTCCCTATGGGGGAACTGGGCCAAAGAAGACTAGTTCATGAAGAGTAAGGAGAGATGGCTTCTGGTCTCTT